TGAGACAAGTTGGGAAGCAGCTCCTACAAGTAAAACAGCAGTCATCACAAACAATCCGATAAAGTGTGTAGAACCTCTGATAAAGTAAGGATCTAGAGGTGATCAAGGGAGGAGGGGGGGGGGGGGGGGCGAAGTGAAGATGGCGGGCTTTCTCTAGTAAGGGGACCCTGGGTGAAGGTGAGCCTTCATTTTCTTGCTCAAATGAGGGGCGGGGGCTCCCTGGGGCTCCCTGGGGGGCTACAGAAACCGGGATAAGATCCGGCAGTGTGGGCCAGTTGTTGGCCCGACATTACATAGAAATATATGCAGTTTATTATCCGGTTCTCTTTCACGATTCTCTTGTCTGGGATTATAGAAGCTGTAAATTGTTCTACCAAAGAGAAAAGGTTGCGTCTGTAGTTTCTGTTTCGTTTCAGCCGGTTTCAGTGAACATGTCACAGGAGGTTGGGTATACATTACATAAATACCTAGGATACTGACGGAAATTTACTGAACTGACAGTAAAGCAACTTATATATGTCGAGATATCATGTAGAATTGATAATTCTCGAACCTTTCTTCATAACTTAGCAAAGCGTTGAAAACTGATAAGAGTAAATACTCAATGCCTCTGTTTACGGTACTTAGTATTAGGTGAACCACCCCCCCCCCCCCCCCCCCCCCTCCCCCCCACCCCGTCAGCGGAAGGTTGTGTATATTATAAAAATGCCGAGGATACTGACGGAAATGTACTGAACAATATTAAAAGCAAGTTAATATGTCGTGATATAATGTAGACTTTATAATAAATTGTGAAGAACGCTTTCTTCAAAGCGGAATAAATACGAGGTCATGTTTCTGTGGCCCTGATAATCTTGCATATTTGGGGAACCTCCCCACTCTTGTGGAATTGTCATTTACATTCTAAGCCCACTGGATCTTCTGACATTTTCGAAACATTTGTTCCTGTAGGTTTTATAGCTCCCCATCACTGATTGCGAGAGAATCGAGGAAGGATTAACATATCAGGTAGCATCCAGAAGTCTTCCAGACTATTTTTACATAGGTCACGCGGCATACTCTAAAACCTTTTTGGAATTGAACATTTGTTGTCCATGTCTGTAGGTTTTATAGCTTCCTATTGAAAATAAAATAAGGAATGATTAAGAGATCGGTTTGTATTGGTTTATACATTGTTAATTACGTGAAGAATCGAGTCTATTGTTATAAGGTCACGCGGCAATGTCTCGTGTTCTGAGAGAAAAGGGAAAAAACCCAAATTACTGATGCAATTCGACTTCCGCCCGTAGACACTGAGCAACGGCAACTTTTTTTAGGTCAGTTATGTGTAAATGTTCTGTTCACTTAAAAACGAAAATCTTAACAATGAACGTTAACCGATGTACAATATTTTTTCCTTGTAGGTTATCGCGGTGAATAAGAGAATGTAACTGGAGTATCAGGTAGGATATCGATATTTGTTTTGTTTATCGTATTATATTTGATATTCGTGAGATGCCGTTGCTCGTGAAAAATAAATTTAAAACTGTTAAAGACTTCATAACTTCGATTATAAACTACAATGACGGTTTTTGGAAAGATATTGGCTCGCTCTGTGCAGCTAATTGTAGGTTGTCGAAATAAATGAATCACTATTCAATAAAACGGAAGTCGTTGAATACTGACAAGTCAACGAAGACATGGCCTTGAACGCCGGGGTACTGACAGAAGACTTTGAAAAAATAATTCATACCATATATAGAAATAAATGGAGTTAATTATCCAGTTTTAGTTCACGGTTCTCTTGTCTGGGAATTATAGAAACGGGGCTAAAAATAAATTGTTGCGTCTGTATTTTTGGTGAGCAAACCTTCCACTGTAGTCAGTGGAAGGTTATATACATTATAAAAACGCCCAGGATACTGACGGAAATTTACTGAATAATATTAAAAGCAAGTTAATATGTCGTGATATCATGTAGAATTTATAATAAATTGTGAAGAACGCTTTCTTCAGAGCGAAATAAATACGAGGTCGTGTTTCTGTGGCCCTGATAATCTTGCATATTTGGGGAACCTCCCCACTCCGTTGTGGAATTGTCATTTACATTCTAAGCCCACTGGATCTTCTGACATTAATTTTCGGAACATTTGTCCCTGTAGGTTTTATAGCTCCCCATCACTGATTGAGAGAGAATCGAGGAAGGATTAACATATCAGGTAAGCATCCAGAAGTCTTCCAGACTATTTTTACATAGACAAAGTGATTAGTTTCTAATGAAACTGTGGGAGATAGGATAATGACCGAGTTAGCGGTTGAGTTGAGTTTGAGTTGAGTTTGAGTTAAGATTGAGTTAAGATTGAGTTAAGTTTGAGTTACCGTTTTCTGTACATTTCTTATTTAAAAAGTGTTAAATTACAGCAAGTAGCCTAAAATGTGACTACTTTCAATAATTCACATTCTTTCGTGCAGATTGTCCGATCTGAAGCTTCCACAAAACAACTTTTAATTATACATTCACATTCTTTTGTGATCTTGCGGTGAAGATGATTTCTTGTTGCTTTTTCATGGATTTTTGACTTTGAAACTACGCTACGCTAAAATTATAATTTTATGTCGATCGGCCGGGTATAATGTATTTATAAACCGTACTGTAAGCGGTAAACACCGTAATTCCTACGACTATCAAAAATGCATTTATTGCTTGCTTTAATACACTTTTAAGGTTATTGTGTATTTTTTTTTTTTACTTCCAAGTTGCGAAGACATTGCACCGAAGCCGGAATCACAGGAACCGACCCGGAACCTGCCGGAACAAACTCGGAACCGAAAAAAAAAAGTAATAATAATAAACATAAAATTAAAATTAAAAAAAATTAAAATTAAAATCGCCATGTTCTCGACTCACGGGCGCAGTTTTTCAAAAAACTAGATACACGGCAGTCAAAGATTCTCACCGAATGTAAACAAAATTATCGTTCAAATCTCTGTCAGAGCTATACCCGGGTGGGGGGGGGGGTAGTCGGGTATGTTTTGGGTCAAATTTGGATACCCCGTTCTACCCCCCCCCCCCCCCCCCCACCTCCCCGGAACTATATCAATATGAAGCCAGCATGGAGTCTGCAGTCTTCAGTATTACTTATTTTCAAACCGTGCCCGTGAGTCGGACAATACTTTTTATATCGAGAACATGGCGATTTTATACTGCGCCCAAGCTAGGGGAATTCGTCAACTACAGAATCGCTTGGCGTTAGGCTAAACAAAGATCGAATACTATCAGGAGACTTTCGTGAGAATTTTAATTTCAGACTGGCGTGTACGTATAGTGAGGGTCCACAATAGGGTTCCCAGATCCCGCCTTCCCGCCTATTTTTTCTCGTTAATCCCGCCATCCCGCCCTTCTTTTCGTCGAAATCCCGATCCCGCCCAAAATTTTAAACAAGTTTCTGTGTTATTATTAAAATAAACATCACACAAAAGACTTCGGCCCCGTCCACACTTAGGCCCAATCTCGTCCCGCGAGCCCGCGATCCTTTAGAAGCATCCAAAAGAATCGTGGGCTCTGGGGACGAGGTTAGGCCCCGTTCATACGTACCCCACTGCGTGAAATGAGTAATTTCGTTGAATTTACGGGGCCCTGATATTTCATGACACTCGACGAATCCTAGATCCGAACGCGACGTGTCAGGATACGCGGCGTGTCGTAGAGTGTCATGTTAACGACACGTCAGTCGCGGCGTGTCAGGACAAATCATGGCCCTGGTACGCGGATTGCGGCGTGTCAAGGGATTTCAGATCTCTGGTACTTAACGGCACGGCCACTAATTATATATGAATCAGCCAAACTACTAGCGAAAGTTGAATTGAAGGACGTATTAAAATCATAGACGGTGAACATGGCGCATGAGCGAAAATTTTTTATTCACGTTCACTATTTACGTATCAGTCAGAATGGACTGTACCTTCTTTATGTTGCAGTTATGTATCGCGTAAAGAGTAACTATAACTATCTTTACACTTTTTTAAGTATCGTATAAAGGTATTTGATTCTAGATGTATCTTTACGCTCGTTTACGTACCACGTAAAGGTATTCTATACGCATCTTTACGTTCGTTTACGTAAAGGTATTCTATACGCATCTTTACGCTCGTTTACGTATCGCGTAAAGTAGTCTATACGCATCTTTACGTTCGTTTACGTATCGCGTAAAGGTAGTCTATACGTATCTTTACGCTCGTTTACTTATCGCGTAATGTATGTCCGTAAAGAAAAAAAATTTGAATCCGTACAAGTAATGTCCGGCGGGGAGCTATATTGGATTGACGTATAAAGAAATTATGTATAAGGGCTGTATGAGGTCTATAAGGAAAATATTCGACGTTTGCTCTCGCGGCCTACACTAGAGTGAAAAGGAGACACTGTAATCTGTTCCTGAGAAAGCAGCTTCATAAATTATATGTATAATTTACAGCACAATTCAATGCTACAGGTTACACCGCCTATTTCAGTGCCATGCCGACTTATCGCGCGCCTCTCAGAGACTGGGCCCTATTAGTCGCCGCTGTTGACGGTCAGCGGTTAAACGCATGAGAAGACGCTTTCCGCGCGTCCAGGAGGGAGGGGTTAACTTCGCTTTCGTCACCAGGGGATTGCGCGGCGGGATGCTCTTGGCCATCGTGACGTCACCACAAGACGTCCCCGGGAAGTTTAAGGTGGCTGGACCCAATATTTTTGCATGAGCACCTTCCAACTTTGAACCTCCCATACCTAAACAGATTGATTTCAATTTCATATCCATTATAACACATGTGCTACATATAGACTGAACTACAATATGGTATGTTTTTTAGGGAGATCGGATTGAATATCACGTGATAATAACGTCACACCTATTTTAGCTCTGAGTCGAATTTTAGCCCTCAACCGCATTTTCTAGGGAAATGCTCTACGATACCTATACCTTGGGTGAGAAAGATATTATTCTGTCAGTGACACAAGCTACTCGGAAAAAAATTCCGAGTTCCCCCAACCGGAGTCGAACCTATGACCTTCCGCACACCGGTCGGACGCTCTACCACTGAGCTACAGGAGACTCGTGGGAGCTAAGGCCATATAACTAGGTTCAGGTGTGACAACCATCCCGCATACTGCTAGGATTAGATTTGTCGATGATAGAGAATTTGTGGAAAGAAATGATGGTATATTTTAAGCTTGGCAGAAATATGAGAAAGATATTATTCTGTCAGTGACACAAGCTACTCGGGGGAAAAAAAAAAAAAAAAAAAAAAAAAAAGCTCCCACGAGTCTCCTGTAGCTCAGTGGTAGAGCGTCCGACCGGTGTGCGGAAGGTCATAGGTTCGACTCCTGTTGGGGGAACTCGGAATTTTTTTTTCCGAGTAGCTTGTGTCACTGACAGAATAATATCTTTCTCATATTTCTGCCAAGCTTAAAATATACCATCATTTCTTTCCACATATACCTTGGGTGTTTGTCTTCCTCTGAGCGGAGTTTCACAAAAATCTATAAGACGGATTTGGAGATATTTTGGGACCTCTAAATTAAGGGTATAATTTATGTGAAAACTAAAGAATGGACTTCCCGTAGCCAAATTAGCTACTTCTGGGATATCTATTTACAAAACATACCGCTCATTATATTATCATATGTCCCTTATACTTCATGGAAAAACTAGAAGGAAGTACAGTAACGCGATTTCGCCAAAACTGAAAATATATGAATCAAGGTGAAACCTCAATGTTTACCTTTTTCACGGTTTTACAGGTACTTTCACGAAAACTACGATCATGTCAAAACTCGTCGATTGTTTTTGTTTATTATTTTTCATGACTACAACTGATCAATGCACTACACAATCCCTGAATTTCTTGTTCATTGATAACTTCTAAAGCTGTCTAAAATAAACGCAAAGTTGAGTAAATATTGAAGCGGTGTCATAGACCTTATTGCTGGTTTGCAACCATTCCCGAGAGATTTAAATGACAAAGATCCTGGCGGCCATGTTGGATGACCGGAACAATAAAGCTAATTAAAATTATTTTGTTAATGGTCATCCAACATGGTGGCGATGACGTCAGTTGCAAACCAAGAATTCATAAATGGCGGTGGATTAATTATTATTTTATATTCATGCTAATCAGCCCCCAAGCCCCGTTGGTATGTGCAAAATTCGAAAGAATTTTTACTCTCAAACGAGGCTAGGGAGGCTGATTAGTATGACTATAAAAGAATAATTAATCCACCGCCATGATAATAGAATGAGCGGTATTTTTTGTAAATAGATATCCCAGAAGTAGCTAATTTGGCTACGGGAAGTCCATTCTTTAGTTTTCACATAAATCATATCCTTAATTTAAATGTCCCAAAATATCTCCAAATCCGTCTTATAGATTTTTGTGAAACTCCGCTCAGAGGAAGACAAACACCCAAGGTATAGGTATCGTAGAGCATTTCCCTAGAAAATGCGGTTGAGGGCTAAAATTCGACTCAGAGCTAAAACAGGTGTGACGTCATTATCACGTGATATTCAATCCGATCTCCCCAAAAAACATACCATATTGTAGTTCAGTCTATATGTAACACATGTGTTATAATGGATATGAAATTGAAATCAATCTGTTTAGGTATGGGAGGTTCAAAGTTGGAAGGTGCTCATGCAAAAATATTGGGTCCAGCCACCTTAAATGGTTTGTAAACAGTGAGCGCCATTGTAAAACTTTTGTTTCCAATTCTGCGCTGTTTTTTACCTTAGCGATGAAAAGACCAAAGGTATGTGGTAACCTATCATTATGATGTCTAAAAATACAATATCTTTCAAAAAGCAACAGATTGAAGGCACAGGAACACACAAAATTTGGCGATCGATCAATATTGAACACGCGATTGAACAGTGAAATTTTGTGCACTTTCGTGAACGATATCTACAGAACACAACAACATACAACACGGATAGAAAAATATGACCTTGATATGGTTTAAAACTTTCGAATGGCGATGAAAATAAACCATTTAAAACCTTCAGAAAAATGATCAGTGGGTTTAAACGCATTTCTTTGGTACAAGATTGCGTGTAGGACCTCCATATTGCGTGACACCCGCGAAAATATGAAGCTACATCTATATTAATTGCGGTCTAAAATGCTTCCCTACAAAGAAACTAAACAGGAGACTAGAACTATCAAGTCATGTCCTGAGTTCGGAAGTAAATGATGGGCCATTGGATTTGCTTTCTTTGATAAAAACCGTCAAAAATGATAATATTTCACCCCGCGAGGCCAAGCGGCTGACGCAAGCTTCCCGGCAAAGTACTTTATACGCAAGCTGTATACAAAAAATCTCAAAAATATGTAACCAAAACATGCATTTTTAGGGTTATAGACAAAGTGTAAGGCACAAGGAGGATCCATTCACTAGACTGGTACGTAGTTTGACTATTTTAAACCTTAACTTTAGTAGCGAAATGCGACGCGGTTTTATACGAAAGGTCATCTCCTGGTCATCTTTATACTAGTCTATTATGGATCTTGTAGATGGTAATATTATATCCAGTCTCTGAACAGGTGACCTAAAGGAGGCCGGAGATATTCAGAATACGGTAAGACAAGAACAATGGACGCAATGGTACTCCATTTCATATTAAAATGTTCGCAAAAATATGGGATCGGAGCTGTATTGCTTGTTTTCTCGGGCGTCCGCATACAATGCAAGGTAATTCTTAAAATTAACAGTTGGCGAATTCTCTTCTTTACGCATTGCTTTTAAGTCCATTCCTCAAAAGAATAAATTCCTCTTATGAACTCAGTATTCAATGTATTTCAATATATGAAACTGTAGCATATTTTCAGAATTATTACCGTTACATGTATGTCAAAAAGTTTGGTAATTTATAACAATATTATTTTGTTTTCTTGCATGCTAGGCACAATTGCAATCAAATGTTTGGAAAAAGAGAAAAACCATCAAAAGGAAGATCAATTCCTTGGGAAAAAAAATTAAACAGCACATTCCCAATGCAAATGATGTAAAGGTAAGAAGCCTATAAATTATTTTTCTTATGATGAATAAGAATAGCCTCATCATATTTGATTGCATGGCCTGGTCGCATACAACAACTGTTAGATAAGTGAGGCCCATTTAGGGATTTTAACCTATTTGAAAATCAATAATTTAGGTGTAAGGGATAACTGTTCTCAAAATTATAGAGGTAAGGGATTAACCCAGACGCACAACAGTCTAACATCAAGACTTGGCTCAGAGGTTTGATAGTTGTTTGGCAGTCAATAATAACACAATACAAAATAATTGACTCAGTACTTATCAAATGTTGTCAGCCTCTTTGAGTCCAAGTTTGGAAATAAGTCACAGCAGGAGCATTTCACCCCGGAGCCTCTATCTATGATGATTAAGGACAACAGCATAGTTACACCTTCGGCTATTTTTAGAAACAAAGCAGAACAGCAAAAGTCATTGTATTTATTGTTTTGTATTGTATTGTAGCTCAGGAACAATCTCATTGGTTAAATGTAGTGGCGTGGCTCATGACATTATATTTTTGTGGCAAAAGTAATTCTAAAAATAGCTCAAGGTGTAACTTCGCCGAAGGATAGGCCCAATAAGGGAGATGAAGGCTCCGGGGTAATATGCTCCTGGTCACAGATATTTCAATATTAATATTTAAATATTGCCTGTACACTCACACAAACAACATTTTATTATAGGCAAGCAAATCACAAGACAAAAAATGGAGACAACTAAACAAATTAAGGAAAAAAAGAACAGGTCTGGAAATTAAAGTGCAACAACTGACACACATTTCACATATGCTATTAAAGCAAGAACCACTGTTCTACAGGAAAAAATCAAAGGTCAGTAAAAGGTTATTCCAAATATGTTTAATTTGCATTTACATGCACATGTATTTTCTGTGAATGCCATTGATATGCATGCTTTTTACAAACAGATTTTAGACACAAATGATCCACTTGATGATGTTGAAAGCTTGTTTCGTGGGCAAGAAAATGGAAATTCATCTTTTCAAGGTATCATACTTAATTCCAGGAATTTTACAGCTACTTAGGATTTATATCAGTACATTTTGGTGTCTATGTACTAAAAATATGACTCACTTCAAATATTATTGTTAGAAAAAAGTGCCAAAAATTGAATGCACCAATCAATGGGGGGTGGGGGAGTAGGGGGGGGGGGGGGGGAGAGACCCAGGCAGATTATGTGGGGCATTTTATATACATTTTTTCCATCCCTACCCCAGGCAGTTTATTATCAAATTTACGAAGGGTAATTTTTCACTGGCTGAGTGAAACAAGAGAAATGGAAAATGTTTTTCTCACACACCGCTGGGGCCTGGGTATAGCTCATGTGACCGGTGAGGCGGGCAGTTGTTTTTGTTGCATCTGCCATTACTGACCTTCCCACCCACCCACTCTCCCAAAGAATTTCGGTTGTATGCAGCGTTATACAATGTACAAACCTTGTAATTTATTTAAGCTTCCCAGTTTTTAGCATGATATGTGTACAATTTTTTGATTTTACAATAAATGTCAGACTTGTGGCCGTCGGCTTGACATGGCTACTAGTGGTGTGTGAGAACAATACATACATTTATGTATGTACTTCAAAGGAAAATAAATCTCCATTTGACACATTATTTTGGCCACAGCTGATTTGACACATTCTTTTGGCCCCAGAGAGGGGATTTTGATTTTAAAAATAATCAGAACAGTCTTAAATTATGAACTAGGCATTTTTAGTTTGTATGAAACTATTTTATACAGGACCCCCATTGATAGCAGTCATGAGACTGAAGGGGTTACCCTGTTAAGGATGTTTACGCTAATTGTTTGTGTAATTTGTTTGATCAAATAGCAGACAATGGTCCCATGAATGTTAAATTAGAGGATGTCATGGATGAGGACATTGAAGCCGACAAGAAAAGAATCAAGGAACGGAGCCTTCCACACAACTATCCTGAGATACTTGTTTCCATAGAAGATTATGATGCCTGCAAAATAAATGGAAAAGGACTAAATCTTATGGGAGGAATGGGAGAAGGTTAGT